ATGCACAATGAAGTTTCAGACTCATTAAAATTAAGTTGACTTGATATTTCACATTTAAGATAAAGAAATGTGAATATCTCTTTACATGGATGAAAAGAGAATGCCATTTATGAATTTTAAAATAGTCAATGCAAAAAACTTAAAGATAGAATTTAAAAGTACTACAAAAATATGGCATATGTATTCACTAAGATTTTTATCATTAGATGCCACACAGAGATATAAGAAAAGCTTTGTGAAAAAAAACCCAGGGCAATCAAATTAAAGAATCAGGAGTAGCATATGCCATCAACTAGTTTACTGATATTCTCACCTGAATTCAGTCTGGAAAGAGACCTCTGCAACACTTTTGTTTTATCTTTTCACACTTGAAATGAAAAACAAAATTTGATTATTTGCAGGCAGGTTAAGGAGGAAATTTAAGGAATGAATATATGTTACATAAAAAGAAACCCCTTACAATAAAAATAAAGCAGAAGCATATTACCTACGTGTCTTTGCTTCTGAGTACAGCTATAATAGGTATTTTTTTTAAGCAATCATCTACATATGTAAACCGGGTGCAATTTGCGGTCGTAAAAGCAATTTTATTCTAACCTTCTCCTTTAAGAGTGCATTGTGTATCAAATATATCGAGTTCAGTACCTCCGGAGTCGTAAGCCGGGCTTTTGGGGCTACAAAATAATTAAATAATTAACGCGTTATGGCAGGTCAATTATTTATCGAGAGTCAATTGAGTATAGTTTCCTAAAATCGTATGGAAAGTTTAAAATGTGCTTCACTTGTGCTTCGTATACGGATTGACCGTTCTTAATTACTGATGAAATTCCGGGAGTGTGACTGAATTAATTCAAAAGAAAATATCCAAGAAGGTTACAGAAATGGTCCACGAATTGTAGACGGATAATTTGTAAACAAACCCTCCCCAAATTATGGTGCCGACATGAATTTATCGTTCACAATCACTTATGGAATTCCGAGATTGTTTCTCAATGAATTCAACAGAAAATATCCAGGAAGGTTACAGAAACGGACCTTTAAAAAACGGCTTTCGGATTAAACAACTGCAAACAACAATTATTTACGCTAACCATGTGCTTACCAGCGTGCTTGTGCACTCGAATTGCCAACACCCCGTTTAATTACATGATTACAGCTCAGACGCTTCTTGCAAAATGTGGTGGCTATCGATTTCAGAGATTGATTCCTCAGTTTCCAGCTTTAAGAAAAAAATATCGTATCGCAAGCATGTTCATAATAACCCGAGCAGTAAGTACGCCTCGAGATGTTAAGCGAAGAGAAAGTGCCTCCATGTTTTAAGAGACAATTGAAATCATTTCTTGAAGTTCTTAAGAATCGAGTAGAAAGCATGAAAATATAGCGCTAAAAAGTACCATGACTAAACAATGAAATTCACTCATTCCGCACCACAACCAACTCCACCTTACCTGTGAGTTTGTTTGCACCACACATTTGCGGTTCGTAATTTAATTCTCAGATGTTTGACGGGTTCTCACATGAAAATATTGCCAAAATCAAATTACTGCGTCAGACTTAATGCAAACATGGACATCGTTGACTCAATCTCATTTTATTTCAATTTTGGGAAAGGCCAGTACTTCGTTCTTAGGCTAAAACAACACTTTTTCGACAAAGCGCGATTTTTTAAACGAATAGAGTAAATCCTGAGATAGTTGACTGAAGAGAGAAAGGGGTAGAAACTTGGGCTCGCCTCTTACTGGTCGTTTCGTAGCCATGGATCTTTCGTACCCAGACGATTCGTACCCATCCACATTAGATCAGTTCGTACCAACCCTCTTGTCGATTCGTAACCAACAAATTATGACACAAAATGTTTAAAGCAAACATAAACATTTATTTCATTTATCCTAGTAATCGCAAAAAAGCTAATTTCTAATAACAAAAACATTGAAAAGTTATCTTTTAGTTAATACTCTTGAAAAATCGTGACCTAATTGACCCATCCTTATTTACTTTGCCTACTACCACGCAGCGCTTACAACTAAACGTACTCATTCTACTTAGTAAAAAGTTAACTTCTTAATCATAGTAACGTTGAAAAGTTATCTCACTCTTGAACAATCGTGACCTAGTTGCCCTAACTGACGTATCCTCATATATTTTGCCCATTATCACGGAGCGCCTATACGACTTAACGTACTTACTCTACTTGGCAATAAAGAAAAATCCTAGTAGTAAATGCAAATAATGTCTAAGTTCAGTTCAGTTCAGTGCATCAGTGGCCTGTTTATATTGGCACATCCTTTGAGACCTAGTTGCCCTAACTGACGTATCCTCATATATTTTGCCCATTATCACGGAGCGCCTATACGACTTAACGTACTTACTCTACTTGGCAATAAAGAAAAATCTTAGTAGTAAATACAAATAATGTCTAAGTTCAGTTCAGTTCAGTTCAGTGCCCCAGTGACCTCTCTAAAAGTCAGCGGTAACCTCCTCCAGGCGGCTTTTTTCTTGATGGCAGCAGTCAATTTAGCAGTCTCTGGGAGCCAAAGTGTGCTGCTAATCCAGTTTTTCTCGATGTAGCTGACGAACTGGTGTAAAGGCTCCGTCTTGGCCTCTGGTTTTAGGCTGTCGAAAGTTGCAGCAATGGTCTCAAACGGAAGGAAGGGTAGTGCCATTAGTCGCCTAGTGCAACCATTCGTAGTCCGGTCTCTCATATACGCAGTCTGAAGGCCTAGCTCTTGACCTTTTCTCCAAGGGGCCTGGTTCCAGTGGAAGGCACACCCCAGCAACTGCACTTCCGGAAAGACTTCGAAATGCTCCCCGCACGACGCTCTAGAAGTCAGCGGTACCTGCTCCAGGTGGCTTTTCTCTTGATGGCGGCAGTCAATTTAGCAGTCTCTGGGAGCCCAACTTCTCCCGCATGGTTGTGTTCGACTCCAACGGTAAGGCCCTCAGGATGCTGAATCACTGACGCCGGACAGTGGTTGGACTTGCCATGGAAGCTACAGTGCCGGTATGTGATCGCATTCCTCCGCCGTTTAACACAATACAAGTAGCCGCGGCTGTCGAACAGTTTCTGCTGGCCTCTCTTAAATGCTCCTTCGACGACTTCAAAGGTCATCGATGGTTGGCTCTCCCATAGACGATTTCTCGATTGGCACAGGTAACTCATATTGGATACTGGATGGAGGGCTACTCGAGGCAGAGAACATTGTAACTTCCCTCACGGTTCCCAGTTCTGTTAATAGAAAAACCCGCATGTTAAAAACCTTGTCTTTTAAGAAACTCCTGGCAGAAATTTGCCATTCAAATTATGCCGATAAACAATAAACTTTTAAACTTTTAGATTTTGAAGACTGTAAATTTGTGTTATAAATTTGCAAATATAACTTTAATAACAATATAACTTTCTTTCTCTAAACGGCAAAACTAGCCAATAAAACGATAAAAACCTATACTAGCCAGTAAAGGTTAAGTAAAGTATGGGGCGATCTTTGCTGACGTCATTGTCTACATTCTGCCTCAACCCAGATTTAAAGAATCTCAATATTTCGACTGTGAATTGCGATTTTCTCACAGGTATATTAAAAATATCTTTATTTGCATCTTAATCGTTTTCAGAAGTTTCGCAAGCAAAACCTTCAAAAAACGTTCTATGGGTGGATCGTTAAACCAAAAGGATCGAAATTCTGACCATTTCGATAGTTAATGCTACTGTTGTTTACTCTCTTTGTTACAATATTCTAATTTACTACTTTTGAAATGAAAGAGAAAAAATCACACCTATCTTGCGCGCGATAATAATTAGCTGTTATTGTCAAGAAACTCGCAAGTATAAACAATTGAAAAGCAAATATAGCAGCCGGCTACTCCAGAGTAAAGTAACACTTAATAACATAAAAATAGCAAATATTTTCAAAGACGCGATTACTTCTAAGAAAAACCGGGGTGACCTTTTTCTCAGACGGAAGGCGGAGATGAAAACTAGGAGTTAGAGGGGAACAGCCAAACCAATACCCAGCTGGTAATGCCCACTGCTGATCCCACTGCTGATGTGCCCACTGATGACGTTGCCATAGTCGGTGATAATTTCACTGAGGAAGAGCAGCTAAGCAACTTAGAATCACATTGCAAGTAAGTCTTCCATTAGTGCACAGAGTGAACATGTTTGGGTGAACGTAATTCTTAAAATTTGCCACAGTTAAAAGAAAGAAAACTGACACACTCTTTTTTGACACACTTAAATCTTGCGCTCAAACCAACACGTCCTTAACTTAATGTAACATGTGTAAACAACTAAAATGAAAACATTTTTTTTACAGGGCTGTAAAGATAACGAGAGTTGAAACCACTTCAGAAAAAAGAAGAAGACGGGCTGTATACTAGCGGCGTTTTCCTTGATGCACTTTCTGCATTTTGGAACTCTTTTTATGATTTTTGCACTAATGGCAAGGACGAGAGAGTTCCAGTCATCAGGCACGACTTGCAGGTTGCTGAGTGGAAGGCCATAGCCAGAATAACAGTCAAAGGGTATCAACAAGTTGGTTTAATTACAATTAAATAAGGCAAAGCCTTTACAACAGCCTTTCTCTTTGGCGAAGAAGTTGTAAAAGAGTATCTTTCGTTGGAATCCTTCCTAGCATACCTCAGTAGTGACGAAAGAGAACTGGTTAACCTGTCTCTGAATAGGAAGCTAGAAAAAGAACAGGAAAATGAATGGTTAGATCTTCTGGAACGTTTTAACTTGGAGATTGTTCCCAGAGCAAAACAAGTCAAAGATGTCGTCTTCGAGATTGCTCACAAAGAGGTCATTCAAACTCCAAGATACATTGTAGACAGCTGGAACACACCGTTGTCAGCATTTCACCGCGAGTTTTCGTCAACAGATTGCCTTCTGGAGATGTTTTCGCGAGGAAAACTAACCAACAAGAAGATCATCACATCTCACGCAAACCTTAAGACCTGAGCACAGGGAGAATCCTTATCCTGTTTGAAACACTTTTTTCGGGGGAATGGAAGATGAGAAATTAACAAAGTTCTTAAGATTTTGTACAGGCTCTTATATGGTGTGCCTTGAAAAAAAACACATCGGTTTCAACAACCTAGAAGGCGCGGAAAGGTGAGCAGTCGCACATATCCCCAGAGCAGTGCTGAATCTCCCTGCCACATATCCATCCTTTCCGTTGTTCGGGGAGGAATGGAACAGCACATTGTCCTCAGAGTATTGGGTCATTGACTTTGTTTGAACTCTCACTTAAATCTGCCAACGAGAACTGCCTTATTGCTGTACATCTCGGAATCCTTGGCAGTCCTAAATCGGGCCGAGTTTTACGCAATTGATTGTTATTGGTGTGATTATACCACAAGCGAATTGTTTAATGTAGTGGCCAATCTCTGTATGGAAGAAATCGAGGAAAGTGCGATTAACAGTTCATCCGTCCCTCCTAAAATCTGGAAACGTTATGTCGATGACAGCTTCTGCATCATCAAAAAAGACAAAGTGCCAGCTTTCCATGACACATTAAGAGTGAATGTCTCTAAAAATCAAAGAAAAATTTTAAAATCACGGACACGGTCAAAAATCGTTTTGTCTCATTTTTTGTTTACAAGTAGCTATAGGTACTACTTAAAGTGATGTGAGGTTAGTTTGTGTAAATATTCATTTTAACGAAAATAAAGCGTTGCTAATTGCATGATCGAAAATGAGTGCGTGCGAGCTCAAAATTATGCAGTTTTCAGGCCGTCCTTGCATGAACTAAAATGCAACAGCTGGACTTCTTTAGCTGTAAATATATACATGTGGCCTTCCATTACCAAGGTATAGTGATATTTTTTGTATCGTGTCCTTCCTGACGAAACCACGGGTTAATTACCAGTGTCGACTGTGTTTCACTCTTAGGTCTAAATATTGACAGCACGCTCTCTTTCAATGCACACGCTGATAAAGTCTGCAAAAAACTGGCTTCGCGTATTGCCATTTTGCGAAAAATTCGCACGTATTTACCGCTTCCTCAACGCATTCAGTATTACAACTCTATTATTAGTCCGGTTATGAGTTATGTCAGCGCCATCTGGTCTAATTGTGATAAAGAATTGTTATATAGAGTTTTTAAGCTGCAGAAACGCGCTGCTAGAGTCATCCTTTACGCAGAGCAGATGGCTCCATCCGTAGAACTCTTTAATAGACTGAAATGGATTCCTTTTTACGAGAAGTGTAAGATTGACAAAGCGTCGATAATGTTTAAACGAATCCACGGTGCACTACCTAGCTATTTAAACGAGCATATTCCGATCAACAACTCAAGACATTCAAGAACTACGCGCTATTCAAACTTTAATGTACTGTGCCCCAGATATAACAGGGAAACTGAAGGTGGGCGCACTTTTCTCGTCACCGGAACCAAAATTTGGAACGAGATACCACTACGCATACGGATGGCGGACAGCATAAGGTGCTTTAAGCACAACATGTGGACTAATATTTTTTCGCAGCAACAATTTTTAAGTCATTTTCGTGTATAGTTTCCTTTTTAGTTTCTTTACTTATCTTGCAATTTATTATATTATATTAGTTTCTATTTTTATATTGTATTATACTAGTTTTTATATTGTAATTATTTCTGAGTGAGGGCCACAAGTTTATTAGCTATGCTATTATGTGTTACCCTCGTAAAATAAAGTCTTTATTATTATTATTATTATTATTATTATTAGTGTACGTGTTCGCCATTTTTAATTCATGCCGAACCCGGCCTAATGCAGTGTGGCAAAAATGCATGTGGTGGTTTCTCAAAATCTCCAGCAATACTATCACGAGGGCTTATAAGGTGAGTCTTAAAATTCATCGTTTCATTTTTCTGGTATCTTCTGCTGTTTTGATATACCAACTAACCAAACTTCGCTAAAATTGTAAATGGCGCCATATTGAAATGAACAAAATCAACATTGCAATGACACACGCAAAGCATTGTTTGAGTCGCAGCCGCACTTACCTTTCTATGTTTGCTTGGACATCAATAGTTCCTTACCTTAGAAATCTTTTATAGGCCCTTGTTATTCCGCTTGGAAGATATTTTCGAAATACTGTCCATTGGTGTAAAGGGGGCCGACCGGCTGACTCATTGAAGCCACTGAGCCGGGATGAGTAAAATAAAGTTACTTGTTGTTGTCATTTCCTACTTCGTGTCGCAACCCAGTTACGTTTAGTCTATTTCGATCCTAATTTTGGCTTTTCTGACGTCCCACACTAAAAGGGTCCCGTACAAAACGACAGGTAACGCTAGGGATTTGCCGGATTTTTCATAGGTTCCTGTCACTCTGCGTGACATATGATAATCCGTCACGTAACGAGATCAACGAACAATTCATTCTGCCCCACATATAAAATCTAAACAAATATATTGCCATCGTGAACGAAAACGATACAACAAAGAAATAGACTTTACAAAATTTCACAAATATAAACCGTACAGTGAAAACCTTATGGAACGAAAATAACGATACAATTTTCCCACGGAAAAACAGTGTGATCAGTTAACGAAAGTAAACAAAAAACAAAAGCGTAATAATCGTCGGTGAAAGGAATAAAGACAACGGTTGCTTTAACTCCAGCAGAAAAAGAATGTCTTATTCTTTACTTGATATTGTTGATGGCGTTTGCGGTGCAGAGGAACGCGCAAGGCATCAGTCCACTCAGACGGTATCTCTGTCATCATGCAGCAAGGATATCAGAAGCCACAAGCGTTTTTTACAATTTTCAGGTGTTGAGACAGAGAATGAACTTATCTTAGTAAGAAGCGGGATTTTCGAGAAGCCCGCCAATTTTTCGGAAATGACTGTTTGCCCTTTACATCGATCAAGCCTCGGAATCGGATGGAGAAGAGCTAGTAGATTATGTTCTGTGCCACAGGATGTTTCCGGTCACAAAAAGGAATCTAAAGAAGTACCCGCAGCAGAAAGAGGAATTACTTTGCAGCACTCAAAACGAATTTTTGAACTTACGAAAAACCTCGTACCCGTCGGATCAGGTAAGCGACTACAATGAGTCATGATCTTGTAAGAACTGACGTCCCTCTAGTTTATTCTCATTGTATGTAAGGATAAACATCCGTATAGCTTCTCATTTCACGCAGGGTAGTTGGCGGGAATCACAGACTTCATATCCTAACTTCAAACCACTTCACTGTCGCGTAAAACAGTCGCCAAGTTTGACAGGAAATTTATTTTCATGTCTTTTCAGGATTTTTGCAAATATTTTTACGTCGGAAAACACTGGCGTTCACTCAACATTTTCGTCTCTTTCAAAACTTGTTCAAAACCAGTGATGGGCTCCTGTCAAAATTAATTAATGGCGTGGAGAACGCTCTAATTGAAATATTCACAGATATTAGAATTCCTTTTACAAATGCCGACAAAAAAGGAACGGAATGTAAAATACTGACTCGTGACAAGGTTAACTACAGAATGCGTCATCAGTTTGGGATTTGTGGGGCTTTTGCCTAGTTTTTTTCTTTTGCCACATGCAGAGCTATTTGTTCAAGGAGGATGTGCAAGGTTAAAAAGTATAAATTAATTCTTTCTCTCAAAATATTAAAGGAATTTGTGTGCGATGTCGACAGTCCCTAGCAAAAATAAAAAATCAGTTACAGTCGCAGAGCTTGGAGGCCACAGGAGGTGTGGAAAACATCACAGAAGGTCTAAGTGGTCTAACCTTGGTGAGTTTCTTCAAAGTGTTATGAAGAATTTCCATCCAATATAATTAATAAAAATGGAAAACCTTAACGCATTCTCTGAATTCTCCCTTCTCCGCCCTTTTCATGCCTAGGGATTCAACCCAGGTGGGAGAAGGGCGTGTCCAGGCTAACTTGCATGCGCATGCTCAAACGCCGCCATTGCCGCCCGTCAACGACTTGGCAAAACCATACATGGCACAAGAATTGGATAGGCGTGCCCTTCCCAGATAGCATATCACACTCCAGGATATATCCAAATAATAAAGGTTTTTAGTCAGTTATATTATAAGGTGAAAATAATCATCGACTATAAACTTCCGCCTTGCATGCGACACCCCGCGCGTGTATACGGTTGATCTCATTTTGAAGCCATCCAAAGCAATGTGTTCACCTTTTCGTCAGGTTGATGAACAAGGGAGTGACTCTGATATTCCTGCCACTTGTGCTGTCACTGTTGGTGATGAAGCATTGCCAGAAGGTTTCACATCCAAACGGCAGAGCCTATT